ACTCGCCAAAGAAGAAGAATAACAACATGTTGAAGAAACTCAGTTTTTTATTGAAAAAGGGACAGAAGTAAATAATGTGCTATCGTGCAGGTTGCTTTCGCATGATCATTGTTCCATTTCTGCAGTAATCTTGATCATGTAAACATTTTTCATCATTTGTTAATAAATCTACTAATTTTCCTTCTCAGGACTTGCTGAGCTGATGCCTTCATGGAATTAATCGTTTTTGCGGATTTTTGTATAGCTGTTTGGAAATCTTCAGTTTGTATGGCAATTGGTATTTTTAGATACAGACTGTTGTATTTTCCAAGTATTTGTTGCAAGTGTAATGAAAGCTATGACAGATGATTAATGGTAAAATTTGTTCTGTTGCTTAAGATTTTTCATGTCAAAGATGGCATTTTGATCTTTATCTTTATTTTTACTCTGTGAAGAGTCTCACTGGTCATTTAATGGACGAGTGCTGACTTAGCTGATGAACTAGTTCTTGGGTTGAGTTTGATCCAATATTCATTTTTTAATGTAATATCAGAGCAGATTTATCTCAATTCTTAGTTCTAATATTGGGTTTCCATATTAATTTATTCACACGCTATATGTCTAGCCACAAGCGTGTGGAGGGATGTTAAGAGTCTCGACCCTTTAAGGGATAGATAGGGTAATTCTCACAAGTCACCTTTTGAGTTAATTTTTGAGATCAAGTTTAACTTAAAATTCAAATTCTTAAGAGAAAAAAGATACATATAAAAAAAAACTAAAGTACTCCAAATTTTTTGAGTTTCATACTTGAATTATAATGTGTGTGTGTTTTTTACTTGAACTATCTCTAAATGTTGATAGTTTGAAGTGTGTTTTTAATAAACAATGAGTGATAATTCAGATAGGACAATTCTCATAAGTCACCTTTTGAGTTAATTTTTGAGGTTAAGTTTGACTCAAAATTAAATTTCTTAAGAGAAAAAAAAATATAAATATAAAAAAACCAAAGAAGTTTCATACTTGAATTATGAGATGTGTGTTTTTTTACCTGAACTATCTCTAAATGTTGATAGTTGAAGTGTGTTTTTAATAAACATTTAGTGAACAGATAGAAAATTTACACACTGATAGTTCAAATATGAAACTCAAAAAATTAGAATGTTTTAGATTTACTTTTGACCTTTAGCTCTTTGTTTAAATGAACTTATACTTTGTGATTTTTTGTTTTGTTTTTACGTTGTTAGGAATATTTTTGGCTATTTTTTTAAAGTTGAAGGTATAAAGGGTAAAGAATATGTAGATTTAACACAAATTTTATAGTGTTAAGAGTTAATTACATCTTATCCCTATTCTTTTTCAAATTACAAAAATTACTTAAATTTGGTGGAATTTGGATACATCCCAAAACATCTTGATAACATTGCGTCCCAGTTTGGATACATCCTTCAACTTCCTACTACACCGAATCTTGATTTCGAATACATCACTCAACGTCCTAATACACCGAATCTCATTTTCGGATACATCACTCAACGTCCCGATACATCGTGTAAAGTGATGTATCCGACTGATACATCGCATAAAGTAAAGTGATGTATCCGACTGATACATCACGTAAAGTAGAGAATTATTGTATTTTTTTCAAATTGTAGAGAATTTTAGAGAATATAGTAAAATAAGTTGTGTATTTAAGTAATTTTTTCCAAAAATTAAAGATCGCCTCAAAATACGAACATTTGTGCCAATGACCCAATTATTTTCAAATCAACTCTATTGGGCCCAAATATTTGATCCAAACAATTTTATCAGCCCAAATGTAGCCCTCTTCGTATATACATATATAGTCCCAAAATTCTTAGAATTAGGGTTTTTATTAGGCGGCAGACTCTTCTCCTTCAACCTCTGTAAACCGGAGTAGTCATCTTCAATCAGCAATCATGGGGTATGCTTTATTTTTCATTTGAAATTTTATACTGAACTTATTTTCTTGTGAAACATTTTTAAATTCTGTGTTTTTATAAACTAATTTTCTTAGTTCTTGATAATTGTTTGGTCAAGTACTAGTGTGATTGTTTATAGTAGTGAAATCTATGTGTTTAAGAACTTTTTTTTCATTTGGGTGTGTGGGTTTTATTCGAAAATGGAACTTTTTTTTATAGTTAATTATCTTAAAGGAGCCATTTTGATCAATTTTGCTGAGTGTTTGAGGAATTGAGATTATCGGATAGGTGAAAGTAGGAAGTTGTAATTTGTAATGACTGTAAAGAAGTGGACTTCAAAAGGGGGGTTTGGTGTTGGGGCAGTGGCAGTGGCAGATCCATGATTTTCATTTTCAAACAAAAATGTAGTGCTTAAGATTTGAACTTTGAATCTCTGGATAAATTTTGAACTTCCAAACCATGGAGCAAACTTCTAGTCTTGTGTTCAGGGATTCAAAATGTATATATATATAGGGTTCTGGTGGATTCATATAACTGACTCTAACTTATCTGGGATTTAGGTGTAGTTAATTAATAATTGGGACATATGTATGATGGATTGTGGCTGTTGGGAGTGGCGTACCCTGTGGTGGTATAGTTGAGGTGTGCTCAAATTGTAGATGGTTCCAGCACTGTTATTTTGAAATAAATAATAGATGTACACACATGGATCAGTGCACGAGCTTGTAATGGAGTGTATTTAACAAAAGTCCTTTGATTTTCTTGCACCTGATGCTCTCCAGAAGGAGCCAACATAGCTGCTGATGCAGAGTTAGCACTACCCTGCTTCCATCCCCTATCTCACCTTCTTTTCCTTTGTTGACATTATCGTTTGGTCACTAACGGTCTAATTAGTCATATTATCCTTCTTTGGAGGGTTGGTTTGCCTTCTCATCCAGCTTGAGGTTGGCCAGATGGGCTTTTGCTTTGATTACTCGTCCAAAATGGACAGCTCACATGTGCTCGAACTAAATTAGGAATATCTTATAGAGCCATGATTTAACTGATAGAGATTCGATGTGCTTCTCGAGTTCTAAGCTTGTGATAATTGTCTATGAACTTTTTCAATTCTTGTATAGTTCTATACAATTTGTCATCCAAATGATGAGTAACATCTTAGGTGGGAAGCGCATTAATAGAGTATTTCTACTAAGTAACTCCTGACATGGTTAAAAATACAGGAAGACACGTGGAATGGGAGCCGGACGCAAGCTGAAGTCCCACCGCAGAAGACAAAGGTGGGCTGACAAGTCCTACAAGAAGTCCCATCTTGGTAACGAGTGGAAGAAGCCATTTGCTGGATCTTCCCATGCTAAAGGCATTGTGCTTGAGAAGATGTACGTTCATCTTTACTCTAATTTTTCTGCTTATGTATCTTAAAAACATCGAAAATTGTATCTAACCTGTGAAGTTGCTATTATGTATTTGCAGAGGTATTGAGGCGAAACAGCCAAATTCTGCCATTCGTAAATGTGCTAGGGTTCAACTCATCAAGAATGGGAAAAAGATTGCCGCATTTGTCCCTAACGATGGTTGCTTGAACTACATCGAAGAAAATGTGAGTCTTTTGCTCTTTACATGTGTAGAGCGTTTTGCATTTTTCTGGTGTACGTACTGACTTTTTGAGTTCTTGATTTTGCAGGATGAAGTGTTGATTGCTGGATTTGGTCGTAAGGGTCACGCTGTGGGAGATATTCCCGGAGTTCGGTTCAAGGTGGTGAAGGTTTCTGGTGTCTCTCTTCTAGCTCTCTTCAAGGAGAAGAAGGAGAAGCCAAGATCTTAATTTACCTCTCTTTTTTCGCGAAAATACACCCTCAAGCCTGCAATGGACTTTTTAGCTTGTATTCGAGTTATTATTTTGTCAACTACTATTTAATTAGACATTGTACTGGAATTTTGGTTCATTAATTTTGAGTTTGACTGTTACCTTAATGTGCCATCCAACAAAAATTTGGTCTCTTGTTTGTGTTTCCTTCTTGTATGTCTGCTTTGATACATGAATCAGGTAAATTATACAGAAAAAAGTACAACTGCATAGTTTAGGTGTGTAATTGATAATTTCACCATACTTTGGTGTGTTTTTATGTTTTATTCTGAAAAATGTGTTCTTCGAGCCTTCTTTCTTGCTCTCATCTATGATGATTGGTCTCGAATGTGAAACTATTTAACACCAGTAATGTCGTATCAAAGATCCCCTCACGAGATGGGACACAAGAGTAATAGTCAGAAGGTCAATAAGGCAAGGTCTCAATGTTAAGTACTTGATGAGTTGAAAAAAAAAATTATTCTCATTGAATGTTTATAACATACTAAGTAACTTAACTACATGAATCATTTAAAGTTGATATGATAGGCATGATAAGTGGAAAATAGGAAAAATTATAGAAATTTCACCTTTTAGTTTACTTATTACCATTATCTCCTATAAGTTTTATAAATTTCCAAAATTCCTCATTTTTGCGCATCAAATTAGTGTATATCGGGCATCAAATTAATGTATCAACGCTTATATTATTGTATTTCGCGCATCAAATTAATATATCATGTATAAAATGTACATCAAATTAGTGTATCATGTATAAAATGTAATGTATCTTACTTAACGATTAATGTATCAACGCTTATATTACTGCATCCATTTGAGGAAATTCTATAATTATAAACTTTTAAGGGATAAATTGTAATTTTGCCTTAAAAGTATGTGATTTCTGTAATTTACCCAAAATAGGAAAATACTTGCCAATATTTATAACACATCAAGCAATTTAACTAGAAGAATCAAAGTTTATGTGCAAGGTGTATCTAACTTGCATGGACTCTTCCATATCGATGCAGCACATGCTGACATTTTTTAAGAGTCCGAGCAACATAGCAAGATATCCTCATGCAACATGATATTTATACAGCAATACATGTAATTCAAAACAGATGCATTTATCAGACATCTCCAACGAGGGTAGGAAAAAATGTACTTACTGATAGAAATTTTCTTGCATCTAGTGAGGTTTGACTGTGAATCTTACATAGAAAGACATTCAAGGTTTTTACATTCATGTAATACATAAATCAGTGCTTGCACAGACATATGTTCTCAAAAACCTTGATCTTAGCTCAACACGAAAAGAAAAAAAAAATCATGCATCACTTAAGCCTTCATCATGTGTGCTATACAAACGTGATGCTTTTGCCACCCCCGGAAACTAGCCTTGTTCTTGAAGCCTAAAAATCTCTGAAGATCAAAGTTAACACGCAATTAGCACATCAATATACCATTATATAAAAAGCAAAAGAGGTTAAAGATTAAGGTTTTCAGAAAAGTTCACTACATTTGGGAGAAAGATCTTTTCATGATAATATCAGGATTCACATCTTTTACCTCGCAATGAAGCATGCTTGGCTATCCTCATAAATTGTTGTTCTCTTTATGATCGATTTGCAAAGAAGGCAAATCTAAATCAATCTTCCCAACTACATGTCCAGCTCCTTCACAAAAATCAAGACAATCACCGGAAGAATTCTTAACAGCAAAGGGCATCCTTCTAACTGCTACCTCAGGGGTATTTAGAGACAAATACGCCAATTTGTTCATTAGGGATTCCACCTTATTGCTAAATGGGGTCATGCTGACTTCTTCTACCTGACTGTTTAATTGGTCCGCTTGATTTGCACACACATTTTTCTTTGCATTTGTTTTCTCAGGAGTATTCAAATCATCCTTGAGATCTACTCTACCTTCATCACCCCTGAAAGTTGAGTCATATTCTCTCTCAACATGATCAATCTTGGTATGTTTGAGGTCACCATTTACATCATCCTCCAGGTTCATCTCATTCATCTGGCTAGGCACGTCCAAATTATAATTAACATTGCACTGAACACCTACTCCATCTTCATCCTCTGTTTGACAGAGTCTAATGTTTTCAGTAATAGAAACCTCAACAGCCTTGATGTCAATCTTCTCAATAGTATCCAAGTTCATTTCATGCTCCATAACACCTTGTTTTTGACCCTTAGTTGCAGCCAAACCAGCAAGGATATCATTGTTCAAAACACTATGATTTTCACTCTCAATTGCAACCAAACCATCACCTGGAACATCTTCAACTGTATCAGGTCCTTCAGCCACAAAGTCCTTATTGTTCAAAGTACTTGCTACTCTTTGGCTTTCGCTCTTAATGATAACTGTATCATTGTTCAAACTGACTTGGTTTTCACTCTTCATTACAACAAAACCATCACCTGCAACATGTTCAACTGTGTCGGGCTCATCAGCCACAACTTCCTCTATTCTTTGGTGTTCACTCATAATCACATCTGTATCATTATTCACAATGACTTGATTTTCACTCTTAATTGCAAATAAACCATCACCTGCGACGTGTTCAACTGTGTCAGGTTCATCAGCCACAACTTCCTCTATTCTTTGGTGTTCACTGTTAATCACATTTGTATCATTGTTCACAGTGACTTCATTTTCGGTCTTAATTGCAACCAAACCATCACATGCCACGTGTTCAATTGTGTCAGGTTCATTGGCCACAACTTCCTCGTGAATATCATTGTTAACAATGACTTGCTGTTCACTCTTAATTGCAACCAAACCATCATCTGCAACATGTTCAACTGTATCAGGTCCTTCAGCCACAACTTCCTCATTGTTCAATATAGCCGCAACCAAACTAGCATCTGCAACATGCTCAACTGTATCAGATCCTTTGGCTATAACTTCCTCATTGTTCAATATAGCTGCACCCAAACTATCATCTGCAACATGTTCAACTGTAACAGGTCCTTCAGCCATAACTTCCTCATTGTTCAATATAGCTGCAACCAAACTATCATCTGCAACATGTTCAACTGTATCAGGTCCTTCAGCCACAACTTCATCATTGTTCAATATAGCCGCAACCAAACTAGCATCTGCAACATGCTCAACTGTATCAGATCCTTTGGCTACAACTTCCTCATTGTTCAATATAGCTGCAACCAAACTAGCATCTGCAACATGGTCAACTGTATCAGGTCCTTCGGCCACAACTTCCTCATTGTTCAATATACTTGCTATTCCTTGGTTTTCACTCATACTTGAAACCAAACTAGCATCTGCAACATGTTCAACTGTATCAGGTCCTTCAGCCATATCTTCCTCATTGTTCAAAGCACTTGCTATGCCTTGGTTTTCACCTTGAGTTGCAACCCAACCAGCACTTCGGATGTGATCAAATGGATCAGGTTCTTCAGCCAGAACATCCATATTTTTCGAAGTATTTGCTCCACTTATTGCATGTTGAACTTCAAGAGATAACTCAGGAATAAGAGTAATATCACTTGGACCACCAATGTGATTATCTGAAACATTTGACTTGTCTGAAGAAGATGCAGGAGAGCGGTGTTTCAGAGTTTCAGGCCTTTTATTTGCCCTAAGAGGAACTCTTACACTCTTAGCTTTCGTGTTTGAGTTTCCTTTTGGGCTACAGACGATAGTTTCAGTTTTGGGCACTGGACTAGCTGAACTGGATTGAGTGCCAGAGTGATTATCTGAAATATTTGACTTGTCTGAAGAAGATAAAGGAGAGAGGTGTTTCAGAGTTTCAGGCTTTCTGTTTGCCCTAAGTGGAACTTTTACACTCTTAGCTTTAGTGTTTGAGTTTACTTTTGGGCTACAGATGGTAGGTTCAGTCTTGTACAGTGCAGTAGACGAATTGGAATGAGTACCATTAGGAGTCCGGACTGCCTTCACCTGCTTAACAATGAGTTTTAACATTAAAATTTGGAAGCACACAGATTCAAGAATTACAAAGATTATTACATGTAACGCAAGATACTTTCATGAAGCTGCCAGAAAATTCCCTTGACTAAATGAAAGTCCTCCACTTGGTAATCATTTTTTCCAGACAAAAAAATCAGCAGACTTAAATACACCTATTCTCTTTCCACTTGGTAATGATCTTATCTCATAATACTAGATGTTGTCATCACATAAATCATTTCTAATGCAAGGACATGAAAATAGATACATATAAAAAGAACACTAAACTGACCCCATCAAAGTAACCCATCTTCGGGGATGGCATGCGCAATCCTGTTGGTTTCATCATAGAGGCTGGACGAGAAACTGAGCCTGCTTGCTTTAAACTCTCTCTAGGTAAAGTTGTTCCCCTAATTTCGGGCTTATCTGACTTCTGATCACTTAAATGATTGTTTATATCCAAAGTTGAGGTGTCACTATCAAAAGATCTGCAGGAGCTGGTGTCAAAGCTAGTCCTTAACCTGCTTGACCTTTGGATCGCAGAAGATGATGATGATACAGAAGACCACTCACTAATAGAACTAGCAGGCGATATATTTGCGTTGATCTTAGAAGACATCAGATAAGCTGAGACAGCAGAATTCCCAGATGGTAGTTTACTCTTCACCGCGGCTTTTGAAGGGGTTTTGAGTTTTGCACTTGCAGAAGGTTGAGCAATAGGTTTGCTATCAACCTTTCTCCTCGCTACAGGAATTGAAGACTTAGCTGTCTTGTCAGATGAAGTACTTCCAGAACTATCACTTGAAGATCTTGTTGCATGCATTTTCATTGCAGGTGAAGATCCCACAGAAGATGGCTTCACCAACGTAGTAGGTTTGGGCAACACCCTACTAGTTTTATTTAAGGCAGATGCTTTTGGTGTCTGAGCCCCTCTAACAGAAGCTGCAATTTCCCATTAAACTATCTAGGTCAGAAAAAATGTTTAAGAAAGTGTTACAAACCATAAATGATTGAAGACAGCTATTACTCATCCTTTACTCAGAAATTAATCCAAAATTTCACAAAGTCTTTTACCACTTACCTGTACTGATTTTCATGCTGTCATTATCTGTTTTGACTCGTGTGATATCCAAAGAAGCCCTTTTGGATGCAGAAACAGGTTGCAACTTTGTGTTAACTTTTGGAGGCTTTAACGATGCTCCACTTGTCGTTCTACTGATAGACTTCATTAAACAACAGAAAGCAATGTCAGTAAAATATCAGAAGTCCCAATTCTTTTGCTAATCAATCAATACTTTCAAATCCTACAGCTAGCAGACTCAAAAAAAGGGAAAATTGAAGATGAATGATGATATTTTCTTTAAATATAAGGAATTTCTTTTAATTGGCTATAGAAAAGAAAATATGGGAAAAACAGTATTTCTAAACCTAAGGGAAAATATGAAAATATGATGACACTGTAAGGAATATTGTTTGAGCTGGCTAATAGAAATGAAACTTCAAAGACAAATTACATGCCTGTGTGACTTGTGCCTTATCCTGGTTCAACCCTTTACCCAATCTTTGTGTTCCTGTAATTTGCTTTGGCTGACTTTTTGGTATCCCAGCTTGTGCTCCAATGATTCTTTTTGGAGCAATTTTTGGCTTCATCTGACATTAGAGAATATAGACAATAATTGTTAAGAAATATAGAAAAGTAACTAAATTTTCAGATGTCATCTCTACAAAATTAAACTTACCCTATCTTTTGAAGCAAGATCCACTTTCTTTGCAGCTGTAAAAAAGATTAATATTAGATTGGAATAACGTGCGAGAAATATGCATATCTTTATGATGATTGAAACTTCAACTCAAAAGAAATCTGACCCTATAGGAAGTAACCCTTCTCCCACTCCCACTCTCAAATACTATTAACTTACAAGAATTAGCTCCATTATCGGTCTTTGCAAATAAATCCCCACTAGTTGGAATGGCCACCTTCTGGATTGAGGCTCTTATATCTCCAAATAACTCCGATTCAATATGTTCTAGTGTCAAATTATCACTTTCCAACGTGGAGATTGAATCAAGTGATTGTCGCACATCCTCCTCAATCATAGGTAAAGTTTGTTTATCACCTCCCTTAATCATGCAGGACAACTCATCGGCATCAAGCACACCTGAATATGTTGTTAGTAAACTTGAGTTTGCAGTACAGGATTAGATAAATAAATCCCCCTTAATACGAACTATAAACAAAAGCTACCTGCATCTGTAAAGAAAGCACTATCCCAAGCTAAACTTTTGCGTAAATTGACCTTTCCTTTTCGTCTGGCCTTCTCAGGTTCCTTTGACTCATGCAGCTGAGGGAACTGCTCGTCATGGTTACCTTTACCAGCCATGTCCATTTCCTCTTGAATATTAATAGCTCCTGAAAACACCAAGATTCTAGCCTCAGTCTGATTTGCTAAACAGCACAAAACAAAAATAATTCACACACAATGTACAATTTCGTGTATGCAGATGTGACTTAGTACCACTATCTGAACACAGATGAAAAAAGAAACGAATTGAAGCAGCATAAGCAAAATAAAAAGTTTTTAACTCTAATAAATTGTCATAAAAACCAAGGAGGAGAGTGAAAAAGGTCCACCCTTTGAGGCTTTATCGAGAAGTTTAGCAACTCTAAATCTCCATCAGGAAGCAACAACGCTAGCTATTCTTTAAGTTCTTTCAGTTACAGAATTCCACATACTAGAAAAGATCCAAATAGAGTTGAACAAAGTAACATCGCGCAGGCATAATTATAGCAGGGTCAGGATATTCCCATCCTTAGTATCGGATGTAAGGGCTTCCCCTCATCCAGCTCTCTACAGGGTAATCTCCACTAGCTGCTTCATAAAAGGTCAGCACCCTTTTTCATTTATGAGTTAAATGAGCTGGTTAGGTCCATTCCCACATTAAGTGATTATAATTCAGAGACATCCCAAATACAAAAAAGAAATAACACTCCATGAGCTCTTTAGCTCATGGGCCATCAATCAAATAGGATTAACAGATTACTTCTTTTCCAACAAAACTACTATCAAAAGGCTCAGAAAGCATGTCTAAATCCCTCGTAAGTGCTTCTCAGCCCCCAGCACGGGCTCAAAAGTTTAAGGAATAAACATGCATGAAGCCCAAATTAATAAACTCCAAGAAAATGTATATCAACCTCAAGCTACTTAGTCACTTTTTTCAATCAGCTGATTTGTTCCTTCAAGACATTTGAGGTGGGATGGATCAACCTGGAAACTCCTGATATTCCACACATTAATTCAAATGAAATCACATTAAACAGCCAAAGGGTGCGAGAAAACTCAATTTATTCCAGATCTTCACATACCCAGTGTAATCCCACAAGTAGTGTCAGGGGAAGGTAGAGTGTACACATACTTTACCTCTTACCTAGAGAGGTTATACCCTCAAAGAAAACTACTCTTTTTATTCAATAGTTCAAACACTAAACAAAGAATCAAAAACTATAAATAAAGTAAACAAAATCCACAACTGAAGAATTGAATTCATTAAAAACCCAAAAGGGTACAAGCTAATTTCCCTTCTTTTTCCAGATCTTGTCAGAAAGACTATCTTTTTCTCTAATCCCACAGTTTCAAATCTATCCAAAACAGCTTCTATATCACCCAAATTAGGGTAAAATCTGCATACACACTAACCTCTTCATACCTCACTAGTACAATTACACTAGCTATATCATCGTTGCTGTAATTTCAAGACTAAACAAAGAAAAAAAAACAGGTTTGTAAACAAAACTAACAACTAAAATCAACAATCACCCAAAAAAAAAATTAAAAAAATGGAATGGCAGGAACCTGAAGATGGGTATTCTTCAAGACCCCAAGAAGGGAGAGGAGAAGATGAATTTCCGATAAGATTGTCATTTTCCGATGAGAAATCAATGAGACTAAACTCATTCACTTCAAGATCCATTTTTTTCACTCTTTTCAATGAACCCCAACAGTACAAATCCAAGCTAAAATTTGATTTTGAATCTGAATTTGATTTCAAAATTGAATGGATCTTTGATGATAATAAGAGAAAAAGGATAAAGGGGTTTCTGAGAAAGAAAAAAAAGTGCGATGATAGAAATGGGAGCGCTACAGCCAAAGAGGGAATATTTTTTTTGAATTGCTAACAAAGCGGTTTTTCAAAGAATTAGGGGAAATGAAAAATGAAATTTAATATTTCACTAGCCGTTTGGACTTTGGACCTATGGAAATGTTACCATCGTCATTTTCGTTTCGTTTCAATTTGTTTGACCTAATTTTAATTTTTATTTGTAGGGATTCTTTAATTTCAACTTTTATATGAGATGTTTGAGATTACGAAATTAAATGGCATTTGTTGTATTAGTGATTTTTTCTATTTTCTTAAATTTCGTGTCAAATTAAAATAAATCAAATAAATTGAAACGGAAAAGAATTTGAAATATTGAGTTGGTCATATGGACAATTGAAGTAAAAAAATGATAAATTAATTTATTTTATTTTTTTTATTAAAAGTGAGAAAAAGAAAAGGGTGATAGTTTGATGTATTAAGCTTCTTGTAATCACCTTGGATTAAGAAAAAGATTGTACCTCAAAATGAATGTGATGTATGGTTTATTCTAGACTCGAATTATTTTATTCAAACTAATATTTTGAATCGATAGACTTTATTTTTTAACTATAATTATCTTAAACTCAATTTTTTATTTCACCTATCTACCTTTTATCGTTTGCAACTGTAGGTTGATGTTACTCATGTTTAATAATTATATAACTGAAACAAACTTATAATACCAAAAATGGCAAAGATATAATTTCATATCATATGTTGAATTTGTGAGATAATTTCAACAAAAATTAAATTTTAAAAAAATCCGTAAGATAATGTGTGATAAAATCAAATGAGCTCAAGTTAACAAATTCAGCTTGGCTAATTAATAACGAAGTCTATTCATGCTAATATCTTTTATTTCTTCCTCGTTTTCTTTTAATTTTTAAAAACAAGTTTTTTATAGTCACACAGAAGTATTATGATAGATTTGCAATATCGATTTTGAAAGTGTGTTGAAAGCATCATTTTAGTTTACAAGATGCCATTTATGCATGTGCACTCACTGACCCGACTAATCCAAATTTGCAAGGCCTCGCAGAGTGTCCTTAAAGGAGGAAGGCTATATGTTAGTTCGAAGTCAAGACCTCCGGTTTAAGAGCGGGTGATGTTGTCCAGTAGCCTTCTAGTATAACAACATTTACAATTAGAACTAATTGAGCAACTTCCTCAACCTACCTGAATCACCTATGATCGTCATGTTTCCCAAGTTCAAATGTGAGACTTCTATTTAAGGCAAGGCCGTCTTAATCCCTAGGTCACTAAAGTCATCGCTTGGGGCTTCATATTTTTTTTAAAAGTTACTTATAAATATTATTTAAATATTTATATAGATATATATATATATATATATATATATATGTGTGTGTGTGTGTGTGTGTGTACTATGAGTGTTATGATTTCTATTGAGAAAATTGCATATAAAATCTAAATTTCGTAAAAAACAATTTGATGAAAAAATTGATAACCAAATCACAAAGTCCCTTGAAATTAGAGTTGATTACTTTATGTATATAGTAGATCAAGCTATTTTTTTCACTTCAAAATAGATTTGAACCAATGTTTTTGGTTTCTCAATGGTAAATTGAGATCACTAGGTGATGAGAATTTTAAAAAAAACATAGTCTTTAACCTTGAACTTTTTTGACACATAATAGTTATTATGCCATTATATTTATTTTTTGAATTAAAAATGCTAAGAGGAATAATACAAGTAGAAAATAATGATTTAATGAAATACTCAATCAAATAAAAGACATGATTCTTTTCCAAATACACATATTGCTTATTGAATAATGTTAATAGTTCCTCTAACCATTACCTCATCCAAAAGAATTTTTTTAAAACTAAAATTGATTAAATTGTATTTAAGATAAACAATGTCTCAACAGAGATAGAATGGATTAACTATATTATGAATTGAAAAGGAATTATTAAAACAAATCTATTACAATAATTAATGATTTCGCTTCAAAAAAAGTTAGAAAAATAGATTTTAAATAAAAATATATATAATGAAAAAAATAACATATTAGGACCTATCCCTTAAGTTTTGCTTTAAATCCCCAATCTTGTTGAGTCGATTTAAGAATGTAGTAAAACAACATTTACGATTAGAACCAATTGAGCAGCTTGTGTTGCTCCTCTCCATTTAACTGAATCACCTATGATCATTGTGTTTCTCAAGTTCGAATTCGAGACCTATGAACAGTAGAGAAATCTTTTCCGGTAGTTTTCTACTAAAACATCATTTACAGGTGTATGTCGAAATTAATCCAACATGGTTATTACATTGAAAGTGTAAGAGTCCATGCAACTTAGATACAATTCATCAAGTATACTGTAAGGATTCGTTTGACCACAAATAAATGGAATAATATTTCCTGGCTAATCGTAGTCATGTGTACTGGAATCCACTATCTCTGAACTTTTCTACAACTTGAAGTTCCTAAACGTTCCAGTCTATTTTTCTACTATATAAAACATTCTAAGTAGACAAAACAGTCAGCAAGTTAATTTCAGCTATGGCCACTAAGTTCACTATAAAATCCAGCAAAACACCTAATGAGGAATTCATCTTACTTCAGTTTTGAACGTCTAACGATGCTGCATACTTCCTTTTACGTTTCCAGGTACACAATGCTTTGCGCGGTGATGGCGAATACTGTAGGCAGTAACTCATGAGTAATGTACCAAAAATACTAAATTTCCTGACTAGCTGAAAGTAGTTTCGCAAATTGGACCATACTGAATATATAGAACACCATAACTCCTCATGATCATAATGATGGTATAACCCCAAGTTGGCGGACAAGGACGACTCAGTGATAATCCAGGATAAAAAGATTCAATACTTCCATCTTCAAGATTGTAAGCCCCTGTGTCTGTTCCACCGCCACATTCCAAAAAGTAGTTCTCTTCAAACCAATCGTCAGTAAAATAAATATGATTAGGCTTAACTCCGGTAAATTTAGTGGAATCAATGGAAGTTGCTCCATTGAGACCCAAAAAAATAGTTGAATCTCCCAAGTCGTTAATCTCTTTCAACTTACCTTCTATTGCATCTAATTCATATACTTCACATTTAAAAGTGTCCAGGCCATCTTCAATATTTGGACGCTTTCTACCAAATCGGACAACAAGTAATAGTGCATCATTTACCTCAACAAGATAGTATTGAACATCACCTTGTGAAAACAAGTCCCGATTATCGTTAAGATAAATCAAGCGCGATTCTACGCGTGGTTCAGGACCGTCTTGAACATCAATGATACCTATTTCAGCGCTCCAAGAAACAAGATAGAATCTGCTCTTGTAGTAAATCATATTGGAGACTCCACCGATTCTATAAACAATTTCAAATTCAGTCCAATTAATATCTCCAGGTCGCCAAAAAGCCAAATGATTAACATCTGTGTTATATGCAATGACGAGTACATAATCTGATGTAAACGATGGATTGGCAGATAAAATAGCGTTTCTGATGTAACGATATTCCTTTTCTTCTTCTTTTTCTTCTTCTTCTTCCTCCTCCTCCTCTTCTTCTAAACCTAGAAAACCACTTAAGGCAAATTGATTTGGAAGTTGAATTTGGGTACGTGAGAAAGGATTCAACAAACTGACCTCTTTTCCGTCTAATGATTGGGTGAGAAGCCATCCCATCTGATCAGACGGGAAACATTCTCGGCCTTTAGCCTCAGGGAGGTACAATCTACGCGAAACTTTACCTTTGGAAAGAGAGTAAAATTCTCGATAATCGTCATCTTTATCAGGGAGCATTAGTAAAGGAAGTTGGGGATAAAGCATATCAAAATTGTCCTTAGTAGAAGCTGTTCGCCATGAGGTACAAACACCACTGAAAGCAATGAAATCTTCCATCAGTTTAACATGCTTTGCAATCAGAACAAGGAGATCATGAGGCAATCCTGCCCAGTCCTCTGCCGCCGCCGCCATAGCTGTATAATGAGAATTCTAGGGCAAATAGCAAGGATTGTAAGAGTTGCAGCAATTTGAGGGCGTTTTATAATAGTAACAATTTGAGGGGTTTCCTATATTAACAAGGATTTGGAGTAGGCAAGCCCAATATGTTTTACTTTACCTTTTTAAAAATAATTATAGGGTTATTGAAGTTGAATAGCTATAAGTATGCTATTTACCAAAAATAACTACAGTTTATGTTTATATTTAGCTGTATTTTTTTAAAAAAAATTATTTATACAATGATACATTTATAATTATAATGCACTAAATAAGATATTTTTAGATAGGGAAAAAGGACGGATTTACCCCCGAACTTTAATAAATGGTATGTCTATACTCTCCGTTATACTTTGCGTCCACATAAGCCCCTGCCGTCCAATTATAGGTACACACATGCCCCTCTCACTAACGGACCCCTCATTTTTTACACGTGTCTTAATCCTAATGAACTACCCGTTTGACCTTTTTTTTTAACCCATAAACCAACTATCCGCCCCATAACCCAATATCCACCCAATTTCCTCTAAGATATATCCTAATTAAAAGACCCAAATCTAAAGGTCCCGTTCCTATCACACAAAATAATACACAAAAAATAATTTTTAAAAAAAACACCTATTGTCGTCTTCTTCAACTCAGCCAGCAGAGCTCCATTTCTCAACTCCAATGGATCTGTAACACTTAACTAAATTTTCTCCTCTCTTCCTTACTGTTACATGGAGTTATCTTCATCTCTGCCGCTGAATTTCCGATCATACAATGATGCAACTATCAACGGCATTGCGTTCAGCTCACTCAAGTTCCTTCTTCTTCATCAAATCCATCACTTTTTCTTCTTCTTCTTCCTCCATTAACCAACACCTCCTCTTCGTCCTTTCGAACCCAAATTGGCGAAAACACCCTTCTCTCAACACCCTTATTCCTTCTTTATCCCCTTCTCATTTCTCTTCTTTCCTTTCGCAAAACCCAAATCTCAACCCCTACATTGTAATCTCCTTCTTCGATTATTTATCTAC